CTGTACAGTCTGTCGTGATAGTATTCCCCATTACCTTGGGTCACTTCCTATTGGTGATCAACCACTATGCACAGCCTCAGATATCCTTCAGAAACCCAACTTCAATCACCCGTTCTGCCTCGAGACCCAAAGATGCAATCTTGGCCCTGGTGTTATCTCTGATCCACAAGAACATCCAGAGCACCAGACCGCGGAACATATTGGTGCCTTTCTTGATCCTCATCTGCTCCTTGCCGGTGATATAGAGGATGCTATGCACACACGCGCGCTCGAGCTTGTTCAGCGGGTCACTATATCGTACCAGGCTGCTGGACTGTGCTGCCTCCGATCCACTTTCTCCCTGACTTTCTGTGCTCGGAGATCGATGTCCACTCATTGCGACTCCATCCAGCTCCATGCCGTGCCCATTGTCGACAAGGTATCTGCGGACCTGATCCGTGATGGTACTGGCTAGATTCGGAGTCATGATCTCATCATTGTAGCCGTAACGGACCACAAGCCGATAGCAGTTGGGGATGGCGAGCCGCGAAACGGTATACCTGTCTTCCACGGGGACTGATGGCGTCTCGAGGGGTCGCAGGTGGAAGAACACAATTACTTCCGGCATAGAGGTGAGCTTGAGGACGAATTGACTGAACACGATAGGGGTGGTCTCGCCCGCCTTGTCGAAGAAGATCCCGACCCCGGGGTTGGTGCTCAAAGGGACTCCGTTGAAGCGGTCGGTGAGACGCATCCTACCATCTGGATCTTTGGTCACGAAATGTGAGGTAGGGAACCGATCCTCGGCCTCGGCAAACCACTGCTGCTCTTTCCCAAACCTCCATAATAGGAACACGAGTGCTAGAATGGTCGCTAGCGCTAGAGTGAACCATGCACCTGTAGGAACCTTCGTGAGTGCTGATGAAAGATATGCCCCGTCAAAGCAAGCGATCACAAGCCAAGGTATAAAGACAATGAATGGGCTGATGCGCCACACGAATATTGCTACCATCGAGACCATACAGGTGTCAAAGAACGTGACAAAGATGACACAGACACCGTATGCATTTCCAAGGGATGTGGTCTGCGTTGCGTCAGAGAAAAGAGCCATAGCAAATTGAAGAGGTAACATACGTTATTGTAGATCGACGCTACCAGGATCGTCCCAACCATCAAGAGCCAGTTGACAATCGGAATATAGAGCTGGCCGTGGAACACATCGGACGTGTGTACCACTTTGATCTGGGGAAAGTAGGATAGCTTCATCACTTGTGCCAGAAGCTGCTGTTGCATCAGAACATGCATCACAATCATTGTCATCAACAAGAGAAGAGTCCCATACCTGGAAAGTTGCAGTGATAATCGCCTGCGATGCAACGATCGCCGCGAGAATGGCAATAATCAAGGCCGGATAAATAGTACCCGGCGGCGCTGCTTTATAGAACGGGTTAGAGTAGGCTTCCGGGTGCACACTGATGTATGCCGCCTGCCCTATGTACGCTAACAGGAGACATGGGAAGGTGTAGCACAGCCAGCTGATCTGAATTGCTTTCCGACTGAAAGCGCCCAAGTCGGCGAAGAGAGCCTCAACCCCAGTGAAGGCGAGCAAGGTTCCGCTCAGCATGCGCCATCCAGACTCGCCATGTCGAACAAGGAATGTGAAGGCGTAACCCGGGTTGAAGGCAATGAAGACACCGGCATCATAATGCGCGAGATTGTAGATGCCAAACACAGCATTAAACCCCAGCCAGATAATCACGATTGGCGCAAATGCAAACGTCATCTTGGTGATGCCAAGCGGTTGTATCAGAAACAACACGACCAAGATAGCATCAGTCACGCCAATGACGGTGCCTTTGGAAATGTTGGGGGAGACGATCTCAATACCCTGCACGGCTCCTAGGACGGACTGAGCTGGAGTGAGAAGGCCATCGGCCAGGACCATTGTAACCGCCAATACGCCTACCACTTTCAAAAGATGCCTTGCAAACTTGCTTGTCTCGAGGCTATGTCTGGCGTATCTGCTGGCTCTTTCAAGATCGTTCGACAGGTGTCTTTTCATCTGGACAAGCGAGGCTTCTCGAGGATCGCGATGGGTTATATTCATCTACAGCCAGCGTTTTAGTCCAGTACCTGGCATGTCTTGAAGATGACGAACTAACATAGCGACTGAGTAGAGAATACGTGCTGAATGTACCACCCTCGCCGTCATTATCAGCATGGAGCACAATGAAGATGTATTTGACAGTCACCATCAAAATTAAGGACCATATGATGATGGAGAGGACGCCGATGAGATCTTCTCGCGAAGGTGGCGCGCTGAATGTCGATGAATAGACATAAAGCGGACTGGTCCCGATATCACCATAAATCACACCGATGGACTGATATGCGAGCCACAGAAGCATCTTGCCTTTGAACACCTGCTCGCGTCAACTCTGACCAGCCTCAATGACTACAAGGACGTCAACAATACCTGCTTCTGCTTATAGTCGCCTGGCCTGCGCAGGCCGGGGTCATCGTCATGCTCCTCGACCGTGCTCGATCTCTTCTCAGACTGATTCAGACAATTGTTCCAAGGACGAACATTGTAAATCGTATCGTACGGCTGTGAAGGCTCTTTGTGGACCTTCTCGCCTACAGTAGGCGCCTTCTCAGCCTCAGATTCTGAGTCCATGCTAATAGTGTGGGATAGTGACAGCCCGGGAACCGCTCGACAAATGTTAGAGAATAGAGAACATCCGGACGAACACAATCAGGCAACAGTCAAAACTTCGGATTCGGAGGAGTAGTTGCATCAGCTGAAAGGCAAGCATGGTCAAGCTTATGGCCGAGCTCCTGGTATTTGTATCATTCGTTTCAGCCTCAAAGTCAGCGGGAGTAGCGATTCCATGGTTCCAGACATTCTTTTCTCGATGACAGGCCTGTCGCGACGGGATATCTCGACATCGACAAATTGCAATTATCCTACCATTCGTATCCTTATCTCTGTAGATTCCTTTTTTTTCAGTTTCTCGAAGATATAAAGCAAAGATAAGCAGGATAGCTAGCTGAGCTTTTTCTTGTACGAGGCATTTTTCATGACCAGCGCTGCTCTCTCGATCCTCTCGGTGCGGGATTTGTTGACACCAATGGCTCCCCAGCCCCGCGCGATAAGCTGGACAAGCATCGTGGCACATGGGATCGAACTCTCACTCCGACTTGCTCAAAGCTCCAGATCGAGGTATTACTGTGCAGGGATATTCGAGGTCAATATTCGTGTCTGATATCAGTTCCGTGGGCGGGAGTGGTCGTCCTGGCCACACCCGTTCCTCAATCCTTGGTGTCGTCGAACGCTTGAACAAATCAAGTCAGACCAATTTTGGACTATGCAATTTGAATGCCGCATCTATCAGTTTCAATTCTGTGTGCAAATGGGGAAGCATTACTCTACTAAACGTACAGAGCAATAATCTAAGCTGCAGAGACCTCATTCCCCCCCCGTTACAGCCCAACATACCCCGTTCCGTCCCTCTCCCTCTGAGGCATCTTCATGCCATGTGCGCCCAGATATTTGGGACTCTGGGGTGCGTTCCATCCTTGCAACACCGTCGCGTCCGCGAGTTTGTATACTTCCACCCCCAGAGGACGAGTTGTAGCCCCCATGTCCGCCTTTTCCTCCCAGCCCCATTCCGACAAGTCGCCTGCGGAGCCTCATTAGCTACGTTACAATACACCTCCTAAAGACTCTCACTTACCTCCAGGACACGCGGAAAGCGCACACAGAACATCCACCTCCGCGAAGAACTCAAAGTACTCCCCCGCTTTGGCCGGCGAAGTCTCCATGAAGTATTTGCCCTGCTCATCCAGTCCCGTCACTTGGAACACGTTGAGCACATCGTGCACATCGAGCTCGGTCAGCCCATACGGCACCACCGCCCGTGTCAGGTTCGAATGGCAGTGAAAGTCGAAGCTCTCGCCGCCCATGACGAGGTTGACGTAAGGGTCGCAGCGAGTGCCCAGGAGGTCGTGCACGCGTCCGCCGAACTGCGTGGTCCCAAAGCCCTTCCCTTCTTTCTTCTTGCCCTCTTCGTCCAGGATCTCATGAAGCTGGCCGCCGGCGAGCGAGTCTCCGGTGATGGAGACCAGGGGACGCAGGTACGGCAGGTTGGACCAGAGCCGATCGCCCACGGACACGTGGGAGGCATGGATCTGGCGGGTACGTGCAGCCCACAGTCGCTCCCGGGGGTTGTTCGCGTTCCAGATGTTCAGGTCACCCACCTGCGGCCCCTTCGGGGTGGTGAGACGGCAAATGTGGCCGGCGGGGACCACCCACGCTTGCCCGGAGCATGGTCGGATCGTGAAGGATGACTCGAGGACGCGCTGGGATGGCTCGTTCGCCGTTCTGGAGATGGATCTGTAGACTTGCGAGATCGCATGGACCCCTGAGTCTGGGGGAGCCGTGTATGCGGGCGGTGGGCGACGTGCAGGAGCCATATTTCGCGGGTGCTTCTTCCTCTGGATCTACCTGAGTTTGTAATGGGAACGAAAGCCCTGGGATATGCAAACAAAGTTTAGGAATTAGGATTCTGACTTAAAAAACAATCTCGGGAAAAGGAATCCGGCGCCATTAAATGCATCGTGGCCCTGGGAACTGTGCCGATAATCGCACTCCTACTCGTACTTGAGTATGAGCCATCGTATTCGACCCCATACTACCCCGCTCATATCTCACAGTCGTGACCTCTTCTGGCAATGGCGACGACGAGGCACCGGGCCGACATAGTGGGGTTTAGACCTTATCGGGTCTCGCCCGGGCCGGACGATAAGTGGGAGGCAGTTTATCGATAACTCATCAATTAGTCATAAAAAAGTTCCCCGCCTGAATGGATGCCTGGCGCAGTTTTCTGTCGGTAATTACCGCCCGTTGGTGCGCTCCGGGCGGAAAAGACCCCGGGACTCGGAGAAAAGCTTCTTCCGGCAAAAGAAAATGGGAATAATAATTTTGGTAGCCAAGCTTTCTAAAGACATTCGGAGCAGTCTTGCAGATTTGCGCTCAACTTTTTTTTTGGCTGTGTCACGGCTTCGAATCAAGCGGGGAAAGTATTTTACTCTAGAGGTCTTCTAGACCTCTTACTTTTCCCACAATGGAGCAGCAATCGAACAGGTCGCATCGAGCCACCAAGGAGAAGAAAAAGTATGATGGTATGTAATGAATCTTCTTGCGCATGCCTCCGGGATGAAGTTTATCGACTTGCTCCAACATCGTTCCTTCAACGTGATCAGGTAGCTGACAGAAATCACTTTCACAGGACCGAATCCTAAAGCTTTTGCCTTCTCGAATCCCGGCAAATTGAACAAGGCCGGCGCGAGATCGCACGATGTATGCGCTACCCACCCTCCGCAACGATGCAACTTTTGACAAGGCCACTGACCTTGCAACTACACTTGTCTAGATCAAAGAAAAGAGACTTCATGTGCCCCTCGTGGATCGCCTGCCTGAAGAGGCACCTCCTCTTATTGTCGCCGTCGTCGGACCACCTGGAGTAAGTGTTCCAGCGGGATTTCACATGCGGAGACCCAGGAATAGGAAATTCTGACAGTCGTTGTGTTGAATCTAGGTGGGCAAGACGACCCTTATCAAGTCCCTCATCCGTCGCTACACGAAGCAGACCCTCAGCACACCGAAAGGCCCCTTGACCGTGGTCACGTCGAAGAAACGCCGTCTCACGTTCCTCGAATCGCCCTCCGATTCCCTCGCCAGCATGATCGACGTCGCCAAGATCGCCGATATCGTGCTGTTGATGATCGACGGTAACTATGGATTCGAGATGGAGACCATGGAGTTCTTGAATGTCCTTGGCTCCCACGGTATGCCCGGTAACGTTTTCGGTATCCTAACCCATCTCGACCTTTTCAAGAAGCAGAGCACTCTGCAGGCCGCCAAGAAGCGTCTCAAGCACCGTTTCTGGAGCGAACTCTACAATGGCGCCAAGCTCTTCTATCTCTCCGGAGTCGTCAACGGCCGTTACCCCGATCGCGAAGTCCACAATCTCTCCCGCTTCCTGTCCGTTATGAAGAATCCTCGACCCCTTGTATGGCGTAACTCCCACCCCTACGCCCTCGCAGATCGCTTCTTGGATATCACGCCACCCACCCAGATCGAGGAGGACCCGAAATGTGATAGGACGATAGCTCTTTACGGTTACCTGCGTGGGACCAACTTCGCGGCTCAGGGAGCGCGGGTGCACGTTCCGGGAGTCGGTGACTTGACGGTCTCCGGCATCGAGTCCCTGCCGGATCCATGCCCGACACCCTTCTTTGAGCAGCAGGCTGCAAAGGCCAACGGCAAGACCAGCCGACGCCGATTGGGGGATAAGCAAAAGCTCTTGTTCGCGCCCATGTCTGATGTTGGTGGTGTGTTGGTGGACAAGGATGCCGTTTACATTGACGTCAAAACCTCGAACTTCGAGCGAAACGAGGACGAGTCCGACGACGAGGAGCGCGGTCTTGGCGAGCAACTGGTTGTTGGCCTGCAGGGTGAGCGCAAGCTTCTCGGTGAAGCTGATGGCGGTGTCCGCCTCTTCCGTGGCGGTGAAGCCATTGCGAAGGCAGACGAGGAGAATGGTGCTGCTGGAAGAAAACACAAGCGCCACGCTCGATTCCTGGACGGCGAGAACAACAACGCTGATGTTGTCGACGAGGAAGACGAAGGTTTCGAGAGCGCAGAAGATGAAGATGACGCTGAAGAGCTGGATGAAGATGAAATGGAGGACCTGAGCGAGGATGAAGAGATCGACGCTTCCGCACCCGCAGATTTCGAAGCCAACTTCAGGGAGAGGCAAAACGGCAATGCTCGCCAGACCGAAGGTGACCTTGAATTCGCTGATAGCGACTCTGATCTCGGCTCTATCTCATCTGTGGATGACCAGATTTTGGAGAGTGGCGAAGACGAGGACTCTGACGATGAGGAGAATGCCCGCTGGAAAGAGAACATGCTTGCTAATGCGAAGTCCCTTCATTCGAAGCGCCCGAAGTTCCGCATCACTGACTTGTCTCGGATGCTGTACGACGACTCCATCGCACCCGAGGACGTGATGCCTCGATGGAGCGGTCGTGGTGAGAACGAAGACGATGACGAGGATGAGGACAATCAGGACAATGATGAGGAAGAGGACACCTTCTTCAAGAAGACCGGCGCCGAGCAGAAGGAAGAGGAGGAGTTCCGTCACATTCCTGAATTTGACTACGCCAAGCTGGAAGAGAAGTGGCAGGATGAAGAGCTTATCGAATCCCTAAGAAGCAGATTCGTCACGGCCAAGTTATCTGGTGACGGCGACGACGACGATTCGGATGTGGGCGATGCATTTGACTCGGACGACGAAGGAGATGGTGAATTCGAGGACCTAGAAACGGGCGAAGCTTTTAACGGTCTCTCTGACGACGAAGAGGGTGGCGAGGAGGAGGGTGAGAAAGAGGAGGGGCCCGTCGACCTGGACGCGGAGCGTGAGCGCAATGCGAAGAAGAAAGAAGAGCTACGACTTCGCTTCGAGGAAGAAGATCGCGAGGGGTTCGCAAACTCCAAGGATAACTCGCGCAAGGATGGTGGAGGGGACGAGGAGTTCGGAGAGGACGACTGGTACGACATGCAGAAGGCTAAGCTACAGAAGCAACTCGACATCAACCGCGCCGAGTTTGACCTACTCGACCCGGCCTCCCGCGCTCGAGCGGAAGGTTTCAAGGCTGGCACATATGCACGTATCGTTCTTGAGAAGGTGCCCTGCGAGTTCGCCACGAAGTTCAACCCTCGTTACCCTGTCATTGTGGGCGGCCTGGCCCCCACCGAGGACCGTTTCGGCTATGTCCAGATCCGCATCAAGCGCCACCGCTGGCATAAAAAGATCCTTAAGAGCGGCGATCCCCTCATCTTTTCTCTCGGCTGGCGCCGCTTCCAGTCCCTGCCGATCTACAGCACCTCCGACAGTCGGACGCGCAACCGTATGCTCAAGTACACCCCGGAACACATGCACTGCTTCGCTACCTTTTACGGCCCGCTGGTGGCACCCAACACCGGTTTCTGCTGCTTGCAATCCTTCTCCAACAAGGCCCCTGGGTTCCGCATCGCCGCCACCGGTGTGGTGCTGAACGTCGACGAGCACACCGAGATCGTGAAGAAGCTCAAGCTGACGGGTGTTCCCTACAAGATCTTCAAGAACACCGCCTTCATCAAGGACATGTTCAACTCCTCGCTGGAGATAGCCAAGTTCGAGGGCGCCTCGATCCGCACTGTCTCCGGTATCCGCGGTCAGATCAAGCGCGCGCTGGCCAAGCCCGAGGGCTACTTCCGTGCCACCTTCGAGGACAAGATCCTCATGAGTGACATCGTCTTCCTACGGGCCTGGTACCCGATCAAGCCCCACCGCTTCTACAACCCGGTCACCAACCTGCTGGATCTGGCCGAGGAGGGCGCGGCGGACAGCGGCTGGCACGGCATGCGTCTCACCGGCGAGGTCCGCCGCGAGAAGGGCATCCCCACCCCGCTCGAGAAGGACTCGGCGTACCGCAAGATCGAGCGCCCCGAGCGCCACTTCAACCCGCTGCGTGTGCCGCGCCAGCTGGCCACGGACCTGCCCTTCAAGTCGCAGATCACCAAGATGAAGCACCACAAGGACAAGACCTACATGCAGAAGCGGGCGGTGGTCCTTGGGGGCGAGGAGAAGAAGGCGCGCGACCTCATGCAGAAGCTCAACACCATGCGCAACGAGAAGCAGGCCAAGCGCGCGGCGAAGCAGGAGGAGCGCCGCAAGGTGTACCGCGCCAAGGTGGCCGAGGGTCTGGAGAAGAAGGCGGAGCGTGAGAAGCGAGAGCGCGATGACTACTGGCGTCGCGAAGGTAAGAAGCGGAAGGCCCAAGACGGAGAAGGGGGTGGTGGTGGCAAGAAGCGCAGGTAGAGCCCCTAGTTGCTTTTTTTTTCAGGGTCAGGTTATTTACAGGTTTTATATCAAAAGTTGCTTCTGTGAATAATGTCCATGTGTATCTATGTGCATGCTGCATGGGATGGATGGCGTTGAGTTTTGTTGCTTGGACCCTATTTCTCCTCTGACATGGTTGAACATATACTCACTACTACATGTTCTTGGGATTGATGCTTGCTCTATACCAGGAAGAAATAGATTGACTTGGTGTCATTTCGGATCAAGACGCTTTTTGTTGGTGGTGGTGGTGTTGTAGATCCTCCGGCTTTGCTGCTTTTGGTGCCTGGTCTTTGAGGCATCCAGACTCACAGTTATCGCCACGTGACTGCGCTGTGAACGCGTCGTCCTCCGACTCGATCGTCGCCTGGCGTCTGCGAGTCGGGAGTCCCTGTGTTTTCCCCCCATGGACAAGCTTGATAGATTGTTGACCTGTTTGTCAATTGATCTAATCAGCAAGCCGCGATCACTCTCTTATGGCCTTTCTCGACCTTCTACCCCTCGAGTCGTCCTCCTTCGGCCGTTCGACCTGGTGTTCGGATTGAGGCTCGCGTGAGAGACGTGTGAGAGAGACATTGCTGCATCTGGCCGCATCGCCTGCCACCCTGCTGCCACCGTCCGAAGATTCCACAACATCGGCCTCCTTGCAGGACAGCCACGAACCCAGTACACAACCCGCCCCGAGTGAGGACTTAGGACCGTGTTGAACTCGAGTACACTGAGTGTGTCAGTCAGAGTGTATTGATTGACTGGGTCGGGCTGCGGGACATTCCCGCGCCAAAGATAACCGCGACGCTGGTAACCGGGGAATCAGCGGCGAATAAGACACATCAGTTCATGCGGACTTTCTGCGACTTCAGCGATTTCCAAGTCTGATTGCCCTCATTCTGCGGATGGGGAGGGGGTAAAGTTCATCATACCTGCCCTGCTTCCCCCGTAAAAAAACATCGTCTGCTTCCAAGACATTACCGGACAAAGAAAACAACCTGCATTATTGCAGTCAGTCAGCCGGTCAGTCAGTCCTCTTATCGTGGCTCTGCCCGCTTTTCTATAGTCCGGGCCCAACATGAGTAGCGGAGCGCCGCGCTTGGATACGCGCCACCACGTGCACTCCGCGCAGTCTTCTTCGTCGCGACAGATTGACTCTCGGCATGATGCAAAGGGTGGCAGACACGACGGTGGTTTGAGTTTCAGTAAGACTGCCAATGACCCCGAATCGCAAGGAGATTCTGCGCGGGGGTCTTCGTCGTCGACGGATCCATCCTCGCTGGTGGGCCCGACCACAGCCCACTTGACACCGACACCTGAGTTCCCGTTGTATGACGATGATAGACACGGGTCCTCGTTCTCCTCGTCACATGTGTCGGATTCGCGGGGAACTTCATCAGCTGTGTCGCAGCCGTCGAAGGTGTCCAATTCGGTCCGGTCCGTGTCGGGAGGCAGACAGCTGAGCATCGAGGAAGCGATCGCGGGGCAGCAGGCCACGCCCCGACCATTCTCGGGATCGCGCAGTCCTTCTGGAAAGGGCTCGCCGGGGAAGCAGCGTGCGACCGGGTTTGCTGCGTCTCCTGCGGAGACGTCGAAGACGGGGGAAAGAGGGATGGAGAGGCTCCGGTCGAGCAGTATCGGGTCGCTCTCCCGCGAAAGCCGAATCGCAGCGGTAACTTGTTCCTTCTACTTCTGGTGGGGTGCTGTGGGTTGCTGATATGAGTTCAGTTGTCAGTGCACCTGCGCACTCGCCTTTCGTATGCGGCGGCCAAGATTGAGAAGAGCCGACAGATGCAGAAGGCCCAGGACCTCCCGCCGACGGCGCGCATTGACTCGCTGGTGCGATCGGGGCAGCTCGCCTATCTTGGCCAGGTCGATGCACAAAAGCCAGAGGGATTGGGCTCGCCTGCCAGTACGACGATGTCGACGATGTCGTCGCCGGACATGTATGGCACGGCTGGGTTCAACCGGCCCGTTGGGTCGGCGCGGCTCTCCCCAGCGGCTTGGTCGGAGGCTGCTGCATCTCCTCACGCGGGATTCTCGAGGAATCATCATAACTACCATCATCACCATCACCATTCTCATTCTCATATAGACCACTCCAGTCGTCCAAAACTCGCCCCGCCTGTAGATATCATCTCGAAGGGAGGAAGTCACGGCAACCGACGTCGACGTCCGAATCCAAACGAGTTCACCAGCCCACCCACCTTCACTCATCGCAGACATCATTCCCACCAGGACGTGGGCCTGTCCCAGTCCAGCGCAAACTCAGACACCATCCTAGTACCGGGGACGCCTCCGCTCCAGCCGTCCGGCGCTATGCCCTCCGCGCGTCATGGTGGCGTGGCGGGTGAGCAGCACGACCGCGCCCGGAGCAGCGCAATGGAGCAGGACGCGATCGAGACGCTGCTGTTCATGTCCAGCCCCGGCCACTCGGGGTACCACTCGACCCACTCGCAGCATTCCCGGCGGCCTCATCAGCACCAGGACGTCTCGCGGAGCAGCAACGGGTCGCAGGAGTCGAGTCTGCGCGTACCGTGGAGTCGGCCTGATAGTAGCCATGGTCATGGTCAGCCACGCGCCAGGTCGGCCGAGGAAGTCACGGGTTTAGAAGCCCAGGCGGGCGACGAGATTGACCGGATGCTGGACCAGATGGACAGTGACAGCGAGGATGATGCAGCCTCAATAGCCCGATCCAGACGGTAGTAAGCTTTTTTCCTCTGCATGGGATGTTTTGCTGAGCCTCGGAAAGTATGGATAGACGCGGGCAGTCTTTTGTACAAACCTAGAGCCTTGATTTCGAGCTACAATAGTCCTGACTTAGAGCATCTGGTTAGACGTGACTTTACTTCGGTTTCAGTTGACCACAACGATATCAAGTTCATCACACCACCAACCTGAACTAGCTCTTATACAATCCTTCCACCCCCAAAATCCAACCTCCTTCTCCCCCAACAACCCACACATCTACATCCAAGAATGACCAAGTAAGTTGAACCAACTAAACTAAGAAAAATCCAACATCCCACAAACCTGCCCCGCCCCCTCCACCGCCCCAACCCACCCCAACCGCCTCCCCGTAAACAACTCCGCCTCGGGCCTCCTCTCCAACACCCCAGCATCATCCAGCACCCCCGCCCTCACAACCGTCACCTCCGCCGGCCGCCCATCAGCATGGATCTTGTGTCCATACAGCGGCGATCCTAAAGTACCGCATCGTCACATAGAATCCATCAGCATTTCTCCTCTCCCACCTCCTACCCCTACGGCTTCCATAAACCCAACCATCATCCCCCCACCCCCAGGCATTTCCCTAAATCAACACCACCCATACCCAACACAAGAAGATACCCAAAAGGAAAGGGTGGGGAAGAAACGAACCGCAATCCCCACAAAAATAATTCCGCACCGCATTCCCACTATCGGCCGTCTTGGCCACGGCCTTGGGCGTGCCGGCGACCACCCGGAAGGCACCGGTGGGCACGAGGACGCTGTACGAGTAGGCGGAGCCCGTGAGTTTGCGGCAGTCGTGGCAGTGGCAGAGGCCCTGTTGCGGGGTCATATCCCATTGCTTGTGTTAGGGGTTGGGTTGCTGTAGGGTTGAGGGCGGGTTGGAACTTGCCGTGGTGAGGGGCGGGCTGGTGCATTCGATGCGGATGGCGGTGCAGAAGCAGCTGCCTTTTGTTGTCATTTTTGTCCGGTGGTGTAACGTTAGGGTTTGTAGAAAGTGAGGGGGTTGCTTGATGGGTATGTATGTTTATGGGTTGGTAGGTATGATATCTAGTGGCTAGTCGTGAACCGAGGTATCTATCGATCTATATATCTGTACCCGTGATGGGAGAATGGGTTGACTGTCTAGATCGTGACTAAGCGCATGGGTGACATGGTTGGCCCCAACGAGAAAAGGAGTGAGTGGGCGGATTCCTTCCCAACCATTCGGTGGACTGACCGACTGACTCGTTGAGTAAGTAGGATTCAGAGGCAGAGGGAAAGTGTAGTCTTTGTATGTAGAATGCCCAATGCGCTTTGCGGGATGCTATCAGTAAGGGAGTCATATACATCCCATCCCGTCTCTAGCATGCTTACTTTTTATTTGCGAAGCTAGCCCGCTGCCTCCTCCCGCTAAGGACGCTTCAGCAATCATGCCTATATAGCTATGGGCCCTCCTGTAGCAGCAGTCGCCCATCCGCAGGATCAAGCCTTTGTGAACATAGTTCTTTCTTCTATACTATACTATGATCATGCAGTAGCTCGTTTTAGGTCGGATTACTTGACTCCTGCTTTATGGATCTTAGTAGCACACAATGTACTTAGTTTCTCTTAAGCTTATGGCCGCAGAATATCGAATATGAGGTTCTATATTAGTAAGTCCATAATGGGAAGGGGCTACAGTGACTACGACTCGCGAATCATATGGTAGCGAAGATATCAGGGTCACTGCAGTGAATTGAGCTGACCATAAGTGGAACCCACGCGCCCCTCGGAGCACCGCGCCTCTTGATGCATCGGCCTCAGTAACCAGTCCCACGCCATGATTTCCGCAACCAGTAACTAAGTAAGAACCTCAGCAAGCCCACCCCACAGGCTGCTTCCACACCAGCGGATGATCTTCCCCAGCCCAGTCAGGGACATCTCTCCCTCGCGAAATGACCTCCGCGAATCCATCCACCTTCAGTGTCGGAAGTTTCCCCTGCTTTTCCGCCATCAGCCTCACCAGTTCCGCGTCGACGTACAAATCCGGCGAACAGATTTCGCTCGTCGACCAAGGGTCGTCTCCTTCTTCCCCCCGTCCGTAGATCCGTAATACCTCCAGGCGACGGGGCAGACGATCTACAAGGGAGAAGCTTGAGGAAGGTTCACCTCTCCAGCGGCTCGGGCCTATGCCCCTGGCCAAAAAGCAGAGCGTGTGGGGCCCCAGACTCAGCTTCAGGAGCTTCGGAAAGTCAGCCAGCGAGATATCCGCTGGCGGCGGTTTAAGATCCACATCCAGCGTCGTTAGCTCTTCCGCCCAGGCTTCCTGGTACTCTTCGTCGTCCTCGTGGTCAAGCTCCTCGGTAGTGAGCTCCAGCCCCTCCGCCCCGTAAACCTCCCCCCACGACACATTATCCTCGACGTCGAGATCGAGTTCCTCCAGGGTTAACCGATGTCTCCACAGACTGCGGACAAGCGGCGACACGTTGACCGTTATCTTACCGCCCTCCGGAAGCATTCGTCCGCCGATGGTATAGGTGAACTTGCGCAATGCCTTGGCGGAATCAATGAGGCAGCATAGATCTGCCTCGTGCATCAGGAGTGCGTGAAGCTTAGCTCGCTGAAATTCGAAGAGCTCGGGGGAGGAGAGATCCCGGCCTCGTTGTTCCATGTCGCGAGCGTGAAGGCGACGGATGTGAGCGCCGGCAGCCGCCGCACGAGGTTGATGCGGTGGTAATACGACTCGAGGATGTAATGCAAACCGTCGTTGTCGGGCGAGTCGTGGTCGGGAAGGAAGGTGACTTTCCGGAGATTCTGGAGGAAAGGGAGCGGAATGGAGGTCCGGCCTGCCCGACGAAGTAGAGTCACAAGACAGAAACATGGAGCGGCGGTGTCGTACTCGCCGATGTGGTAGAAGGCCAGTGACTCCAGCTTGGGTGAGATGGTAATCAGGAGTGCGGCAAGGGCTTGCTTGATTGCAATATGACCGCTATACGTAGAGCATTGTCTGGTGAATGATCAATGTCTTAGTCAACGTTTGAAGGAAGAAGAGAGAAAGGATTTGGGGTGTCACAGACAGCTTTTTCCCTGCAGGATCTTGCAGTAGGATGTTTAGCAGCATCTGCGGCTCAGCGCCTTCAGTGAATCCAGCTTTGGCGATGGCTGTACTCAAGTTCTGTATATCAACTTCAGCCAAGTCTTGAGTCTAACTGGGGGCCTCTGGTAATCCGGGTCCTCGCGATCTGTAACTTCGCGAGTTCCATGCACCTCCAGATGGCGCACAGCCTGAGCCGCGGCCGGGTGACGGAGGAGATGTAGCAGGGTGTCGAATCCGGTGACGAGATCTACGGTCTCGCGGAGTCAAAGTCGATGGTAGCTACTCTCGGGGTTCAGGTCTAGATTGGAGGCGGCCGGGAGGTGGTGCGTGTGACGGCGACTTTGGGGGGGGGTTAGTCCCTGCGTGCTGATAGAGGGTTGATAGCACTTTTATCTGGTGGTGGGTGGGATAACGGGGGCGATGGCGAGAGAGGGTTCTGCGCAGTGCTTTGCTGATGATTTGCATTGGGGAGCAGGTGGGAGATTCGCTGGTAGCTGGGGGTATACTCGATATTAGGGAGAAGAAGGTGAATGAAGAGCTACCCTGTGAAGGTATTGGCACGTGGACTACCCTTATAGTAAGATGGTGAGTTAGTCAGGTCTGGCTATTTAGTTAACTATACTGTTGTGACTAAGCATGTGCTTGGGTCCAACCACTTAGATTACATGGTGACTGAACATTGACTGGAGGTTGCCTGACTCCTGAGTAGGTTCTATGGAGGGGCCTGGTATTTACTGCCAAAGGCAAGTTGGTAAGATGCCTTTGGAGAGTCTGTCACTGTTCAGGTCCATTGTGATAGTTTATATATAGCCCTAACATGGTAAATTTCTCTTCCCTATAACACAGGTTATGTCTTACCAAACACCAATTATCCTTGCCCTATCATACGTAAACTTGTCCGATATAGCTAGCAGGATATGCATTGCCACAGCCTCTGGAATAGAGGCCTGGAAGAAGGCTCTCAATTCTCTCAGGTTGCAGCAACAGCCACAACCACCCATCTAGATTCGTCCGTTCACATTTAAACAAAGGGCTCAAATCTCTTGATATTTTATCTCCTCAAAACGGAACCCACATTCCAGAGTATCAACTCAGCTCAGCTAAATGCTCCCATCTAAGAACATCAATTCAAATCGACTACCCTATCAAAACACCAACCGGTCAAATCATTCCACCCCCCAGCTATCGTCCATCTCCGCAACATCATAGTCCACATCATGGCCCCCGTCCTTCCGGCCGGAGCTCTGATCTGGCACCCCCGGCGCAATCGGCGCGGTGTCCATCAACGTATCCTCGTCCGAGCCGGTCTTGTTGGTGTCGGAGCCACCACCACCGCCAGATTGAGGCAGAGAGGACGACGAGATGGGCGGGTTGGGCACCCAGGCGAGTTCCACCTGGCCGACGGACGGGATGTCGCGGGGGCCGAACATGAACTTCTCGGCCTGGTAGCGTTCCTTGAAGGCCACGATGAGGGAGTCGGACTGGTCGGGGTTGGGTTCGATGGAGGAGTATTCGCCGACGCCCTATTTATGATGTAAGTAACTAAAATGACCAGATGGGATGACGGGGCACAGCTTGAGGAGGAACACTTACAATCAAGAACTGTCGCAAGGCTTCGTCCTTCTCGGAGTTGAACTCCACCCCGGAGACAGCCACGCGCTTGGGTCGGTTATCCAGACGGAGCACACCGCCACGACCGGCCATGCCACCACGACCACGGTAGCCACCACCGCCCCGATAGTAGGGATCGTAGCCGCCCCGACCACGAGGGGCAAATCCACCTCGGCCGTAGCCGCCTCGGCCGCGGCCGCGGTAGCCCGGCCCCGAAGCACCACCACTACCACCAGCAGGATCGATCCCCAGGCTCTTGGCCTCGGCCTCCAGCGCGGCCAGCTGCGCCCGAAGCTGCTTGGTCTGCTCGCTGACATGCTCCGGTTGCGCCGACGGGGACCGGCCATCTCCTCCGTCGGGAGACGCGCCGCCACCGCCGGTAGCGTCGCCATTGCTGCTGCTGGCGGCGCCGCTGCCGCCAAGTTTCTGCATCAGTCGCTGTCTCTCTTCCTGCTGCTTCTTAAGCAACTCGTCGCGCTGTCGTTCCAGGGCTTGCTTGGCCTCCTCGGTTTCCTTGCGTTTCTTGAGTTTCTCCTCGTGGGCGCGCTGGGCTTCTTCCTGCTGCTTCTCGAACTCCTCCCGGTTGAAAGCCGGGCTCTCCGACTCGCCGCCACCCGCGCCGGTGTGATGGTGAGGCCGGGAGTCCCCATTCCGGTCGCCCTTGGGCTTGTGCCAGTAGACCTTGACGAACCGGTTATCGAAGATCACCTTCGGGCTGGACCAGGCGCTCTTGGCCGCCGCGTGGTTCTCGTAGGTGATCAGCGCGAGTCGCCGGTGTGGCTGTAACGACAGGTCCGCGATTTCGCCATACTGCGAGAAGAACTCCCGGACCGTCGCCTCATCGAGCTTGTCATCGGGGATCTGCTCCACGACGATCGTCGTGATCGAAGTGTCCTCGTTGGGACCGGCAGAGGAGAACTCGGACCGACGTCCTCGGCCGCCAAATCCACCTCTGTCGCCGCCACGGCCACGGCCACGACCGCGGTCCCCGCCCCGCATAGGCGGCCCATCCGATCGTCTCTGGTAGTCCGTAACAATGCTCGAAGACTTGGGATCGTATTCTGCGCCTCCCACAAAATCAGTCCTAAGTCACGCACGCCGTTTAGAAGGTAAGTCAAATACATACCATCCGTCTTGGACGCCCCGCCCGCAGTATCATGCTGGTACGGGCACGTAGTCCCAAGGTAGCAGATCCCCTGCGTCTCGTAGAACGGACACCGCTCCGAGCTCTTCGGCACCATCTCACCCGGCTGCTGCCCAGCGCCCGCAGGTGGCATCGGCATCGGCGGCATTCCCGGCATCTGGGGGAAACCCATACTCTGTAGCGCCATCATCGCCGCCATGGGGTCGTTCTGATCGAACGGCGGGAACGTGGAGGGCATGACGAATCCCGGGGCTTGAGGGTTGAAGGTGTGTGGTTGCTGTTGCCCGGGCCCTCCTGCGCGACCATCCCTGCCACCCATCCAGTCCCCTCGGCCACCACCACGTCCCCGGCGGGGAGTCTTGTAATTGCGATTCTGCGGGACTTCTTCGCGGTCCACGTCCATCTGAAAGCCCTCCTGGAATGTACGCTTGCGGTTGAAATTGTGCTGGTTATCACCACCCGGCGCTTGTCCAGGGAAATTGTTGCCCATCTGCTGTGCTCCGAAGGGACCCTTCGAAGGACCGGTCGGAGGATTGAATGCACTCGGTTGTTGCTGTTGCTGTTGCTGCTGCTGGTCCTGAGGAGCGGGCGCTTCCTGCGACTGGCCCTGCGCATATGACGGTTCGGCAGCAGCAGCGGGTTGCGGTTTAGAAGCAAAGGTCGCGAAGAGCTCGTCGACGAATTTCACCGTGTCTGTACATTACCCGAAGGTAACAGAGAACGTCAGCAAAACGTACTCATTCAATCGAGCACACAATATAACCATCTCATCCCAGATTTGGTAGCGCAAGAAAGAAGAAAAAAACTAACGTTCACGAAGGAAATCCTCCAAGTTATCCACCGAAGCTTTCCGGATGTCCTCGTCGGGAGCATCGGTCCTGATCAACGCCAGAACATAGTCGGCAAGTACATCGGAATCGGCATCAGAGCTGGCAGGTGACGAGACGTTAGACTTCGAGCGTAAATTCGAGCGAACGCGCGCGCGCGGACAAGGCAGATTGGGCGCCCAAAGCCGTCGCGGTTCCTCTTTGCGGACAGAGACAACGCTTACATATCCTCCAGCTTCCTGACAACCCATTTCTTCACCTCCGCTGCCTCGTTCTCGGTAAGTTGCATGATGTCGGGGTAGGGTCGGGCGATCGGGGCCCGATTGTCACCAAAGAGAGAGGGCTTGTGGCTCGAAGGTCTTGAGCCGATCAAACAGGCAGGCGTCCGTCCTCGCCCGTTTGACGCCGAAGGCTGAGACCGAGGAACTAGAAAAGAGGTTGCAAGGGAGGGACACTATCCAGCGACTGCAAGGGTGATGGGACGAAAGCGATGCGAATGATAGATCAAACCATGGCTTGGCAGTAAGGTCTCGATAAATATTCGACAAAGCCTGGCGGTTCGAAAAAGCCGGGGAAACGCGAGCGACGCGGATGACAGAATACCACGTGACTGCCCTCCGAGATCCCGCCAGTTGCTTAATTCTGACGAAAAACTTCACGCACCAGCACAAATCGAACTTCAATATGGTCTACAGGCCACCTGCAGAGGAGCCACACCTACGATGGTTCTAAAACACAAAATTGAACTTGAACTGCCATCTCATATTTTAATGTCCAACTATGGGACAGCAACTGAACTATTGGAAAAGCTCTCGCAGTCGTAAACGTAATAAAAAAGCCAAAGCAATGCTCGTGCACACCTGGATTCTACTTCTAGGTATTCGACAATCCACATACGACATTAAGCTGTTTCACCTCATTTTCATTTTCCTTCCCCCTCATAGACAGGGTATTGCGTTCGTCAATCTCATAATAGGATTCCAACCATCACAGACTTGAAACCTAGTCGGCTTGCTTGGAACGTGTTTACAGCTTGTCGTAGTACTGCAGACAGAATTAGCATCAAATCCAAAATCATGATGGAACAGAAGAAACTTACGTTCTCGTAGCCAGGAACCTGCTCCTTGAGACCCTTGCGCTTACGCATCTCAGCAACGATCTGACCGGGCTTGGTGGTGGCGTCAAGAGGAGATCCACCAGGGAGGACAGACCAGTGGTCGAAGACAGACTGGGGGAAAGCCTGACCACCGGTGGCCTGACGGAGCTCTCCGGGGAAACCGAAGGACTCGTTGACGGGCAGGTAGGCCTTGACGTTGAAGAGGGGAGTACCAGGGCGCTGCTCCTCGGTGTAGACGTGACCACGGCGGCGGGTAAGGACACCGTAGATACCACCCATGGCCTGCTCGGGAACCTGGATCTCGACGTTGAAGATGGGCTCCAGGATACCGGGGTCGGCA